GGGGTAATTTAACGATCAACCACCCAGACAGGTCTCGTGACTGGTTGCGTTGACGGTCCTCCAGCTTATACAGCTCTGCGACTTGTGACAAGGATCTGTTCTACATTTTCTCCCTGTGTTTAGGTCTATACAGGGTTTGAGACTGTCATTGGTCGTATTAAAAATGTTTTGGTGCTTGTAATCTATTTGCCCCCCCCCCCTCCCCGAAGAAAAAACAACACGTCTCACTTGCTGATCGGCTTACTTGTAAATCACAACTTTTACCACTGCAAAAAACGTGATCTAAACGACACCGCAAATCGCAGAATCCACCCATACCCACACCGAGCGATTGTAAACGCCACCGTCTTTAGTCTCAATGCCCCCCGCACTGTCGTTAACGTAGCCAGTCAGGCATCCTCTTCGGATCAATGCTGTATAGACGAAGTATACACTCTTTCGTTCTCTCGTCACTGCCACACTGGTAAATGGAGGGTGAGAGGATCGTTTTAAAAGATGCTATATTCATGCAACTCGAACTGTTTCTTTTTCTTAATAAGGGGAGTATAATAATAATAATAATATAACTATGGCTTTATTTGAATTTCTCATGAATGGACGTCTTGCAAAATTGTAAACAGAAACATCATAGCACTGAAAGGGTTAAGCAGTGCAGTAGACCGCGGTTGATGGGGCGGGACTTATAGTCATAGTGTAGACTACCGTGTCGCGGTAGACCGACAACCTAACTGGCACAGCGTGGTTTTTGTTTCCCTGACTCCTTGTGGCACTTTGTCTTTCCGTCAGCTCTGTGCCCGAATTCTCTGAACAGAGGAGTTGTCACACTCGGCGACTGTCCAATCGCCTCTGCGTAAAGTGGACATCTGTTGGTGACACGGTCCAGCCTTTTTGTTCCATCTTCCAGTTTTAATTGGTGCGGTCGCAATACAATGAAGCATAACGACATGAGCGGGGAACGGGGTCAGAGACGGAAGATTATAAATTCTAGACAGGTTGAGGAGAGGAGCGATGAGATTGACCTTGATCTATAGATTCGAAATTGGATAAAAGGAAAATGGCGTGCGTCATCAAATCAAGAAGACGCCAACGTGACTGGTCACCAACTCTGTGCTTGCCATATAATTATGGGGAGTTTAGTAATTTACCGACTGAAGGCCTGACCATGAGTCACCGTGAATTCCTCCCCTTGATAATTTGGCTAATATTCCGTTCCTCTAAGATCCCGCATTTTCCTTACTCCGGAGCACCAGGATCTTTGTGGAAATCTGATCTCCGAGAACTAAACTACGAAATATAGAGTGCAGTTCCATACACATTTGTTCAGTCGCTGATTTCGGCGGAAACATTTCGCTAAATTTCAATGGATACGTGATGGCCTACATAGATGACGGTACAGTTTGTTTTTTTGTTTGTTTGTTTGATGTTTAGAATAAAACCACATCTCCTTCTGTGGCGGAAAGGAAAATGGTTCAGCAAAAGAACGGTATCAAATCATCAATAATTCTCAAGCCTGGCTCATCAAGATAATCAGGTCTTAGCAGAAACATCGTTGTGATAGTGTCTCTCTACTGGTACATTATCCTATATACTACCTATAAACACACACACACACACACACACACACACACGCACGTACGCACGCACACACACACGCACGCACGCACG